TCTCTCTCTGCCCCTCCCCCGTTCATGCTCTGTCTCTCTCTGTCCCAAAAATAAACGTTGAAAAAAAAAATAATTAAAAAAAAATAATAATAATAATAAATAATAGTAATAATTAACCAAATAGCAGATGAGAGGAAATCCCTTATATTCCAACAAATAAATAAGCATGTGAAATCAGCTAAATTCAGACTAGGAGAATATCTGCAGGTTTTCAATGACTACATTAGAAGTAAAAGAAGGATGCAAAGTGACTTGGTAGTGTAACATACTTAAAAGACATCCAATTTTTTTAAATACACAAAACTAGAGTATCTAGAAATGCATACATGGTCGCTAAAACTATAAAGAAATACTATAAAAATCAAGATAGTGTTTCCTTTTGAGGAGGGGGAGATATGAGCAGGAAAAGCACATGTTTGGACTTCTGGGATGGCCAACAAGTTACATTTCTTGACTTGGGTGGGGTTACAAAGATGTTGGGCATATAATGGTTCATTAAGCTATACATTGTTTTAAGTGATTTTCTGTATCTGTGTTTTATTTTCTGATAAAAAGGCTTTAAAAGAAAAAAGATATAGAATCCTTACTAACTACAGAATAAAATGCAAGCTGCTAAGCATAGAATTCCAGCCTTTTATAATCCGGTCCCAGATTATATCTCAACTTTATCTTCCCATTTTCAGGCCCTCTCTTCAGACACCTTATCTGCCACCACTCCCAGCAACTCTGACCTACCAACTCTTCCCCAAATAGACCATGTTCATTCACACCAGTTTCGTCCAACTGTATGGTTCCCTTTTGATGATTCTTAAAATTCTCCTCAACTTTAAGGATCAAGCTCAAAAGGTGCCTCCTTCAAGCTCCAACTCCCACAGTCCATATAAATTTCTTTCCTTGGGGTTCCATAGCAAATTCCTAGACTCTCTAACATAACCTATTTCATACTGCCTTGCATTACCCACCCAGAATAACAGAAAGAATAGAATCGACAAGCCTGAATTTCAATTCCACCATTTCATTCATTTACAGAATAAATATTTAATGAGATCCTAACTCTGTGTAGCAGGTATTAAGTTAGGCACTAGGGATTTAAGAGTAAACAAGTTACACACGGTCCTTACCCTCATGGAACTTATAGTCTAATGGAAGATACAAATAAACATGAAATTATAACATAGAATGAGAAATGCTTCCAACAGGAAGTACATAAAATAAGCTTCTGGGGCCCTTAGGTGGCTCAGTCGGTTAAGCATCTGACTTCAGCTCAGGTCATGATCTCGCAGTTCACGAGTTCGAGCCCCATGTCAGGCTCTGTGCTGACAGCTCAGAGCCTGGAGCCTGCTTCAGATTCTGTTATCTCCCTGTCTCTCTGCCCCTCCCCCACTCACACTCTGTCTGTCTGTCTCTCTCTCTCAAAAATAAACACAAAAAAAATGTTTGTTTTTTTAATAAAAAAAAATAAGCTTCTAACCTGGGGAAGTAGGAAGATGATGAAGATGGCTTCCCTGGAGGGTAAGTGATATTTAAGCTAAGACTTTATGGGTACAAATTATCCACAATTCAAGGTGCATCTACTTCTAGTGCTCACTAGTTGATAGTGATTTAACCTCTGTGAATCCCAGGTCCTCATCTGTCAAATAAGATGCATACTATCAACCCCCTAGAATTTCTGTGATGACTTAAGTAAAATATAAGGTGCCTGGCTCAAAGGTGCTCAACAGAGGTTAGGATTCTTTATTACCACTTGTCCTTTGACCTCCTTCAGGACAGACTCAACATCTAATTCATCTCTGTATCTACCACAGCACCCAGCACAAAGATCAGACAGTTCCTAAGCTAGAACCCTCTCACCTGAGGATGTTGATACAACCATTGCCATTTGTCAGAAAGAACATGTTATTGTCATTATTCCAAGAGATTTCATTGACTTCAAACTTGAACTGCTCCTCCGCTTTGGAACGGTGTGTCTTGGCATCAATAAAGGTCACCACATCATCCTTGTTGCCCACAGCAATGGTCTGTCCATCGGGACTCCAGCAGATATTAATGTTCTCCCCTGGAAACCCAGATATAATCAGCAAGATATTGTTTGCCCATAATCCTCCAGAAGTTTATTTTTTTTACCATACAAAGACCAGAGCTATTCACTAAGGTCCTAGTCAATAGAAGGGAATGACCACTTACTCAACAATTTTGAGACCAGCACATTCATCTACAAATTTCCCCCCTTTGGGTCCTCACAATAATTCTCTAATGGACACTTCATTATTCCCAATTTACATATGAAGAAATGGAAGATAAGAGAGATGAGCCAAAATGTCAAAGCTATGACGTGATAGAGCCAAAATCTAAGCCAGATTTAACTCCAAAGCCTCTTATTCTTACACCAACATTTCCCAAACTCCACTCATTCGAATGCCACTTTCACAATTTTTGTCCTATGTTAACAGCTATATTTCTTTACTCAAGACTTTTCTTAAAATTGACTCAAAAAATTTCTTAAATAAATTTAGTTTCAATTTAGCAATGAATTCTACAGGCTAGTTCTTTTTTTCTGGTAGGTATTAAGATATAGACACAGCCAGTTTTGAATGTTCATCCATGTTACACCTAAATCACACATGCATTACCAGCCGTCTACTTGGAGAAAGCACTACAACATTCCATGTCCAGGTACCAGTCTTGTCAAAAAGTCCAGTGGCCCACAGTGAACACATTGATTAGAAATGTCATCAACTTTACCAATTCCATGATGCATATTTTTTTCACACTTTATTATCTATAATGTACCTTAAAATACAACAGGATGCATCTCAAAATTTTTGGTGCATCATGGTTATGTAGAAGCTTTATCTTCTTTCCTACTAGCACATAAAATATTGGTGCCTCTTGTAATCAATGACATGTTAGTCAATAAAATATAATAAATGGCCTCAAGGTTTACAGAACAATAACTGGTGAAGAACAGATTCTACAAACATACTGCACGACTTCCAGTTCATTTTGTCCCAGACCACCAAGACCATTCATTCCAAAATCAGCCATTCTAGCCTATCAACAGTTTCATAAATTCTCCACACATCTGTACATGCAGTTCCCTCCTAGAGCTGCCTCCTATCCCCCACCAACCCACTGTACCCTGACCACTAAATCCCTATTAGCTATTCTAAGAGTTTGCTCAAATCTGTGAGACCCTCCCTGTCTCCACAGGCAGACTTAAGCATTTCCATTCTGAGTGTCCATCTTTTAGACCTCTCCAGTTAAGACGAACCATGTCATATCACGTACGGTTTTTTTTACACGTACGTCTCTCTCCCTGCACTAAACCCAGTACGGGTCCTAGGAGCTGGAGATTGTCTTATTCAGCCCAGGATGTCTCATACCTAACACAAGGCCACAAATAGAGAAGATAATTCAGGAAAGGCCTGTTGAACGACTAGAAGTAGCTCATTCCTATTGCCCTTTCTCTGAAGAGTCACCTTTAGTGTTCACGGTGGCAATGCATTTCGTAGTCCTCACATCCCAGATGCGAATGGTTTTGTCTCCAGACGCGGTGACAAAGAGGTCAGGATTACTTGGGTGCCAACAAAGCTGGTCCACACTATCCCCATGTCCCCGATAATTGTTTTCTTTAACCTGAAATAAGAGAATCCAAACATCACTACACACAAAAGTACCTGCCTCCACATGTAATTTTTTTAACCTTATTCAAACTAAAGTACCTTGTGACCAACAAAGATCTGGATAATTTAAAAGACACCAATCCTTCCAAGCCCTTTCTGCCAAACTACTCCCAATACCCACCCACACTTCCTCCCCAGTCACTCTAAACTGTTCTGAGGTTTGGGTTCCATACCAAGGGCCTTACTCTTTTGTCCTCCCTGTCCTTCCTCCTTCTTTCTGGTTTTCCATCCTTACTCTACCACCCAGGTTCCCAGTCTTGCTCATCCCCACAGAAAGCCCTATTATTTTCAAAAGGGCCCCCCTCACCACCATGGGGACCTCACCAGCACCACAGCACCCTAGCCACTCCTCACACTACACAACACCTTCCTACCACTCTCGTACACCCCCATCTCACCCCAGTCCCATCCACCCTCCTCACCAGCCGTCTTCATCTCCCCCCCCCGCCCCCCTCATCTGAATTCCTCCTCACTACTACACTCCCTCGCACCCCCACCTCCCTCTTACCACCGCCGTCCACCTCTCCACCACACCCCCTCCTGACCCCTAACCACCAGCCTCATCACTCCCACACTCCTCTCTCGTGCACTGCACACTCCCAACATCCCCACACCCCTTGCCTCCACCCCCCCTTTCACCCCCATTCTCTCCCTCAACACCACACCGCCCTTTACCACGGCCCCTCTCTCCTGCTGGGCCGGTCCCTGACAGCTCACCAACCGGTCCTTCTCCAGCAGGAATACGCTGGCCGTCTTGTCGAAGGACCCCGAGGCAAGGCGACGCCCGTCGCAGCTCCAGGCCACCGAGTGCACCTTGGCGCTATGCGCAGGGAACTCGCGCGTCTTGCTGTGGCCGCGAAACAGCTCCTGCATTCCCAGCACGTAGCGTGTTGGGCCGCTGGTCACTGAGCACCAGGGAGCCATCGAGCCAGGACCACTCTGGCCCAGCGCCGAGGGCCCCATGGCCGCCGCAGGAACCGCCATGACAAGCTCCCGGTGGCCCGCGAGCACACCGCCGCTTTGGCCCAGTCAGTCCTGCCGCCGCTGCCGCACGCCTGCGCCAAGGAAGAGCGGCTCTCCCCTGCACAGCCGCACTGTGAGCCATCCGGAGGGGACTACAAATCCCGGCATGCAGCGCGCGAGCTTCCTTACTTTTCAAATACGATTACGATTTAAGTATCTTTCACAGTTATTGATTCTAAGGATTTTAGGGCCTATTTCCCCCCTACCTACTGCCAGGTAGATATTTGTATCCCTATTTAATTGAAAAAGAAAGCCAATGCAATCTTTCTAAACCTCAGTTCCCCATCAGTGAAAGACATTTTTTTCTAGGGTTGATCCCCACCCTCAGTCCCCTCCCTTGGAGCAGAAGACTCTCCACACTCTGGCTGGTGAACTAGGGGTTTGTGGGTGTCCACAGTTCAGGAGGGGAGGGACTGAGAAGGAGTCCAGGGAAGTCTTTACATAGGCAAATTCTCCGCTTTTAAAAGGTACTACTGGTGAGTGATAGAAGCAAAAATACGTTCACTTTAGTGCAGAAGGCCGATCTATACAGCCTGCATAGTTCTGATAAGGAGCATATACGTACTGGTTGCTACATTCTTAAAAGGTCCCATGATTGCCTGTATATCCCACCACTAGTTAATATCCAGCTAAATGATAAGCACCGGAGAAGTCTTGCAAAAATAGTTTTACGAGTAGAAATTCAAAGAAAACATTTATGATCTAATACTCCCTGCACATCCCCGTCCCCTTTAACAGTAAGCATATAACCACTGGTGCATATAGCAAAAGCGTGGATCTTTCTGCCCACGTCCTGTCCCGGTGCCATTTAAATAAACTTACTAAGTTGCACTGTAAAACATCTCAAGAATTCTTTCTTGACGATCAGCGTTCAATGATCCCGCAACACCATATATATGCACATGATTACATATGAAAAAACAAAAAAGATACAGAGTAAACAATAAATGCCTACCTGTGACACACACTCCCCTCTTTGATTATATATTTCCATCCTTACCACACCTACCTTAAACCACAAGTCCAGCAGTTTCTTGCTGAAGAAACCAGTGGTAAGTTGCCACGACAACCAAAGCCCTGGAGAAGGACTTTGGGCTGGGAGAGGGGTTTGGAGGTAAGCAGGTGGCTGGAAATTTGTTTAAAAACAAACCTTTTTTTAAAAGGATAATATAAAAAAAAAAGTGATATGAGCACTTGGTAACAAATATAGAAAATACAAAAGGGAATAGAGTAAAAAGAGTAAGTTTACCTCCTGTGTCTCCAAATTCCCCTTCTGAAAAACATTATTAAATTTTTGTGTGGTCTTCCAGAGACAGTTTAAGTGTAAAAAAGCACCTTTGGAAAGGTAGATTGGTCTGTATATATCCTTCCCACACCACCACCGCCCAGCAAAAATAGCAGCCTTCCTTACATAAATTGTTTTCTTTGGTAAACACACATAATCTATAGTATATGCTAATGTCTCATTCTATTTCATGGATGAGTCTTTAATGACATGCATGTATAATAGTTTATTTAACTGATCCCCTTAATCGATAGTGTCCTTGAATTTGCTTTTAGAACAATACTGCAGAAGGGTCGCCCTGGGGGACTCAGTCTGTTAAGCTCAGGTTGTCTGTTGGCTCAGGTCATGATCTCACAGTTCATGAGTTCAAGCCCCACATCCGTGCTGCCAGCACAGAGCCTGTTTGGGATTCTCTCTCTCTCCTTCTCTCTCTGCCCTTCCTCGGCTCCTGCTATAAATAAACAAACAAACTTAAAAAATATATATTAAAAAAGAACAATACTGCAGTAAATATGCTTATAAACTTGCCTATGCAAGTTTCATTGTGCACATATGCACTTTTTTATTTGAATAGATATTACCAAAATGAAAGCATTCTAACAATCTCTATTTCCATCGGCAACATAGGGAAGTGTCACAAGATCCTAAATACTAAATGAATCCACATGTAAAGCACATACTCTGACGAAGGCCTTAGCAAATAAGGCCCTTCTCTTTCCTCCATATTCTTCCCTACCCCAGTGCAACCACAAATTCTTATAGACTTCAAAACTTTTTAGACTCCAAAGAATACCCATGAAGTCCACTAAAATCTTGGGGTAGGAGACCATTTGGTGTCTAGCTTTCCTTCCTTAAACTTTTCTTTTCAGGAATTTTCTTCATATGCTAGTTTTTTTTTTTTTTCCTACAAACACAGAGGATTTCTGTCTCTGGGTTCCAGATAAGGAAACTAAAGAAGAAAAAGGCAAAATGTTCTGCTCCAGATCACATGGTTGTTAATGGACAGAGCAAAGATTAGAACTCAGCTGTGACTGATTCCAAAAGCTACACTCTGATTCTCAGTTCCTGAAACCTCCATGTTATAAACATAATTCTTCGTATTTCTGTATTAATTTTATATTTTTGTACATTATGTGTGTTTTTTATTTCATTTTCCCTTGTGCTCTTTTTCTATATTCTGTAAACAGAAACATTAGAACCTCAGTTGTGATAAGTGTATCCTGCTGGTCTTCACTGAGATAGCGCATGGTACAACTGTTTTGAAGGTGGAACAGCATACGTGTGGGGGCTATGTGATTGAAGGCAGAGAATCTCAAAGGAGAGATAAAATTCAGGGAAACAGAGGCATTGGCCATTTTTTTTAAACTTGTATTTAGAAAAATAATCAAATTTACAGAAAAGTTGCAAGAACACTGCTAATCCTATGGCCCGGGTTCACCTAGTTTTAGCATTTTGTTTCCTTTGCTCTCTCTACCCATATACATATCTTGTCCTAAATGTTTGGGAGTAAGTTGCATATATCATTACACTTTGCCCCTAAATTTTTTAGTGAATATTTCCTAAGAGCAAGGATATTCTGTTTCCTATCTCCAGGATAGTTATAAACTTTGTTAATTTGAACAATAACATAGAATTTTATCTACTGTATTTCAGTGATGTCAGTTTAGCCAGTAATATCCTTTAGAGCATTTCTCCAGTACATGATCTAGTCTAGGATCTGATATTCTATTAAGTTATCATATCTCCTTAGTCTCCTTGAATCTATAAAAATCCCTCAGCATTTCTGTAATCATTTTGATATTCATATTTTTAAAGAATTTGTCTGATGGACCATTTTAATAGTCCCTTTGTCACCAAAATTTCTCTTTCAGGAGCTGATCTTTGCTCAACTCTGAAGGATATTTTACATATGGGAGTCTTTGGATTTTTAGGGTCACTCAGGGCAGAATCAGGATATAAATAATAACAGAGATATAAATAATAACAGGATATAAATAATAACAGAGATGACAGGATGTGTAGAGGGGATTTTCAGGGGGCGAGGGAGACATCCTACAGTGAAGGAAGAGTAGACAAGGAAAGAAGGAAGCTTGAAGTTTAAGTCCTTTGATAGTGGGGAGCTTTGGAGAAGCTGTTGTTACAAAAGAAAACAGGAAAGAGTCTGTCACTTCAGGCAAATGATGGCAGATATTCTACACAAACCCTTTAAACAACTGTCTTAAAGATGCTCAAGAAATTAAAGGAAGAGGGGCATGTGGGTGGCTCAGTCAGTTAAGCAGTCGACTTCAGCTCAGGTCATGATCTCAGAGCTTGTGAGTTCGAGCCCCACGTCAGGCTGTGTGCTGACAGCTCAGAGCCTGGAGACTGCTTCAGATTCTGTGATCTGTCTCTCTCTTCCTCTACCCCACTTGTGCTCTGTCTCTCACATACACTCTCTCTCTCTCTCTCAAATAAATAAGCATTAAAAAATTTTTAAAGAATTGAAGATATGGAGAAAGTAAAAAAAAAAAATATGTGAACAAAATGGAAATACAAATAAAGAAATAGAAAACCTAAAAAGAAACCAAGAAGATATTCTGGAGATGAAAAGTACAATAACTAAAATGAAAAATTCCCTACAGGTATTCAAAGGCAGATTTGAACAGGCCAAAGAAAAAAAATCAATGAACTTGAAGATAAGATCATGGCCATTATTGAATCTGAGAAACAGGAAAGGGAAAAGATTGAGGAAAAGTGAACAGAGTGTAAGGAACCTGTGTGATACTATCAAGTAAACCAACATATACACATTATAGGGGTCTGAGAGAGAAAGGGGGTACTAAGAAAGTATTTGAAGAAATCAGGGCTTAAAACTTCCCAAGTTTGGGGTACCTGGTGGTTCAGTCAGTTAAGTGTCCAACTTTTGGTTTCTCAGGTCATGATTTCATGGTTCATGAGTTCAAGCCCCATGTCAGGCTCTGCACTGACAGTGTGGAGCCTGCTTGGGGTTCATTTTCTCTCTCTCTCTCTCTCTCTCTTTCTCTTTCTGTACACACACACACACACACACACACACACACACACACACACACATCTCACTCTCAAAATAAATAAATAAACTTTAAAAAAAAAACTTCCCAAGTTTGATAAAAGACAAATATAAACATCCAAGAAGCTCAACAAATTCCAAGTAAGATGGACTCAAGAAGACCCACACCAAGACAGATTATAAGCAAATTTTCAAAAACCAGAATGTATAAAAACAGAGAATCATGAAAGCAGCAAGAGAGAAACAACTCGTCACATACATGGGATCCTCAATAAGATCATGAGATTTTCATCACAAGTTTCATAGGCCATAAGGCAGTGAGTTGATACGGTCAAAGTGCCAGAACAACAAAAAAAGTATCAACCAAGAATCCTACATCCACCAAAACTGTCCTTGAAAAGTGAGAGAGAAATTAAGACATTCCTAGATACACTAAAGCTAAGGGAACTTGTTACCACTAGATTTTTCCTATAAGAAATGCTCAAAAGTCCTACAGGATGAAAAGAAAAAAACAACAGAAAATAAAACTCAAAACAATATGAAAAAATATAGATCTCAATAAAGGTAAGTACATGGGCAATTACAAAAGCCGGTATTTTTGTAACAATGATTTGTAACTTCATGTTTTATTTTCTACATGATTTAAGA